CTGTCCTGGGAAATCTTAGGTACTTTGACAACTACCACATGTCCTTGTTGGTCTTAAATTTCTGCATATAATAGAGAAGCAATTTCTATGATTTAAATGAAAGTGCTACAGTGAGAGAAAAATAACTCTTTGATTGAAGTACTACATTGTAAAGGCACTTTAAAACAAACTACAGACATGCTTCGGAGATACTGTGGGTTTAGCTCCAGACTACGGCAATAAATTGAATATTACAATAAAGCAAGTCACGCATGTTTTTTGGTTTCAAAATACATATACAAATTATGTTTACTTTATTCTGTAGTATGTTTAGTGTGCAGTAGCATTTTCTCTAGAACAATAATGTACATACCTTAATTTAAAAATATCTTATTGCTGCCAGGTGCAGTGGCTCACGCCTGTAATCCTAGAACTTTGGGAAGTGGAGGCGGGGGGGATCACTTGAGGTCAGGAGTTCAAGACCAGCCTAGCCAACATGGTGAAACCCAGTTTCTACTAAAAATACAAAAAAATAGCTGGGCATGATGGCTCACACCTGTAGTCCCAGCTACTTCAAGGCAGGAAAATTGCTTGAACTTGGGCGACAGCAGTTGTAGTGAGCTGACATGGCACCACTGCACTCTAGCCTGGGTGACAGAGCAAGACTCTGTCTCAAAAATAAATAAATAAAATGTTATTGCTAAAAAATGCTGATGATCTGGGCCATCAGTGAGTCACAATCGCTTTGCTGGTGGAGGGTTTTACTTCTGTGTTGATGGCTGCTGGCCCATCAGGGTGGTGGCTGCTGAAGGATGGGATGGCTGAGACCATTTCTCAGAATAAGACAACAATGACATTTGCTCCATTGCTTGACTCTTCCTTTCGTAAAAGATTTCTCTATAATATGTGAGACTGCTTGATAGCATTTTTACCTACAACAGCACTTCTTTCAAAATTGAACTCAGTCTCCTCAAATCCTGCCACTGCTTTGTCAACTCAGTTTATGTAATATTCTAAATCCTTTGTTGTGGGCACTGGCTCACACCTGTAATCCCAGCACTTTGGGAGGCTGAGGTGGGTGGATCACTTGAGGCCAGGAGTTCAAGACCAGCTTGGCCAACATGGCAAAACCCCATCCCTACTAAAAATATAAAAATTAGCCAGGTGTGGTGGTGCACACCTGTAATCCCAGCTACTGGGGGGTAAGGGAATGATGGTGACAGGGGCAGGGGCTGAGGGACAAGAATCACTTGAACCTGGGACACAGAGGTTGCAGTAAGCCAAGACTGAGTCACTACACTCCATCTTGGGTGACAGAGTGAGACTCTGTCTCAAAAAAATAACTTTGTTGTTTTTTCAGCAATGTTAATAGCATCTCTACCAGGAGTTGATTCCATTTCAATAAAACATTTTCTTTGTTCATCTATGAACAATTTCTCATTCATTCAAGTTTGATTATGAGATTACAGCATTTCAGTCACATCTTCAGGCTCTATTTCTCTTTTTTATTTTAAAAATTAAAAAAAAAATTTCTTTAGAGACAGAGTCTTACTCTGTCACCCAGGATGGAGTTTAGTGGTATGATCATAGCTCACTGTAACTTTGAATTCCTGGGGTCAAGCAATCCTTGTGCCTCACCCTCCCAAGTAGCTGGGACTACAAGCATGCCATCAAGCCCAGCTAATTTTTTAGTTTTTTAAAGAAGGGTGTGATACGGTTCCCAAGCTGGTCTCAAACTCCTGGCCTCAACAATCCTCCTGCCTTGGCCTCCCAAGTCACTGGGATTACAGAAGTCAGCCACCACGCCCAGCTATGTTTCTTATTTCTTTGTATGAATCTAGTGTGACACTAAATCCTTAAATTTTTCTTAGTTTTATGTAAAATAAAATAGCATGTTTTATTTAAATAGAATATAAAATTTTAAAATAATGCTATTTTTTCATATAAAATAAAAGTTTGCTTTATATTTACCTTACCCAATTGGAGTACTTATATTTCACAGAAAATTAACAAGCAGTACAGTTTTCAACTTAATATGCCAAATTAAATATGATACAAAAACTGATTCAAAGAAGGGATATGATATAGATGTCGATTTTCCGAAGTCTGATTTGTAATAGTATAGATTATACGAGTAAAAAAGGAATAACACAAGCCATTATGCCATTATTGAACATAAATAGCACAGTACCATGTAAATGAGGCATTTACCAAGTGAGTATTAATCAGTGAACTTCATTTCACATAGCACAAATGACTTACTGACAAATATCTAACACACTAGTATTTATATTATTTATAATTTTCCCCTGTGCCCTAAGTTGTCAGTACAATTTTTGGAGAGACTTGTTAATGAAAATTCATATCCCTGTTTTCTTTTTTAGGGTGTTCATAAGAATGGAAGCGCTGTTTCCTTGCCAGATTCCTTCATGCTATAGCTTGTGAACCTACATAATCTTGAGGAAGAGCCTATATTTAATGATGACACACATGTCACCAGCATAGCAACAACAGTGTGAGGAAAAAAACAAAAATTAAGAAGGATTCAGATTTATATTCAACGAGGCAACCATTTCAATCAACAACTTCTGCGTTATTTTTCCAAGATGAATCGATACACAACTATGAGACAGTTGGGGGACGGCACGTATGGGAGTGTGCTTATGGGCAAGAGTAACGAGTCCGGGGAGCTGGTGGCCATCAAAAGGTACCGTGTGTGACATTGCCAAGTTCATCTTTGAAAACTCTGCTGTTTATTTTCCTGTCCTTGCCTAAGAATATATACAGGCACTGGCCGGGCGCGGTGGTGGCTCACGCCTGTTATCCCAGCACTTTGGGTGGCTGAGGTGGGCAGATCACTTGAGGTCAGGAGTTTGAGACCAGCCTGGCCAACATGGCGAAACTCCATGTCTACTAAAAATACAAAAATTAGCTGGACATGGGGGTGCATGCCTGTAATCCCAGGAGGCTGAGGCATGAGAATCTCTTGAACCTGGGAGGTGGAGGTTGCAGTGAGCCAAGATCACACCATTGCACTCCAGTCTGGGCGACAAGAGTGAAACTCCATCTCAAAAAAAAATGAAGAATATATACAAGCATAGGCTGGGTGCGGTGGCTTACACTTGTAATCCCAGCACTTTAGATTGAGGTCAGGAGTTCAAGACCAGCCTGGCCAACATGGTGAAACCCTGTCTCTACTAAAAATACAAAAATTAGCCAGCCATGGTGGCACACACCTATAATCTCAGCTATTCGAGAGGCTGAGGCACAAGAATCTCTTGAACATAGGAAGCTGTGAAGCCACGAAAGAGTTTGTATATCTTTTTTTTTTTTTTTCTGAGACAGAGTTTCATTCTTGTCACTCAGGCTGGAGTGCAGTGGTGTGATCTCAGCTCACTGCAACCTCCGCCTCCCAGGTTCAAGTGATTCTCCTGCCTCAGCCTCCTAAATAGTTGGGATTACAAGCATGTGATACCACACCTGGCTAATTTTTGTATTTTTATTAGAGACGGAGTTTCACCATGTTGGTCAGGTTGGTCTCAAACTCCTGACCTCATGATCTGCCCACCTCAGCCTCCCAAAGTGCTGGGATTACAGCCGGGAGCCACCGCGCCCTGCTGAGTTTGTGTATCTTGAGGACTAGAAAGTCTTGAAGGATTTTAAGCAGCATTGTTGATGTGATCAAATTTTTGGAACTGGCTCATTAGCAGAAGAGTGGGGACTGGATAGAAGAGGTCAAGAGTAGCCGGGCGCGGTGGCTCATGCCTGTAATCCCAGCACTTTGGGAGGCCGAGGCAGGTGGATCACAAGGTCAAGAGATCGAGACCATCCTGGTCAACACAGTGAAACCCCGTCTCTACTAAAACTACAAAAAATTAGCTGGGCATGGTGGCACGTGCCTGTAATCCCAGCTACTCAGGAGGCTGAGGCAGGAGAATTGCCTGAACCCAGGAGGCGGAGGCTGCGGTGAGCCGAGATCGCGCCATTGCACTCCAGCCTGGGTAACGAGCGAAACTCCGTCTCGAAGAGGTCAAGAGTGGACACAGGGTGGCCAGGTAGAAGGTCAGCGTAGTCATCTTGGTTAGAAGTGGTGCCTGACAAGAAAGTAGCTCTGGGGATGGATATAACTGGATACAGTCGAGGGACACTTAGGGAGCAGGCTCTACAGGAACTGGTGACTGGGCATGAGGATGGAGGGAGGAGTAAAAAATGGGGAAGAGTCCAGGCTAACTCCTGGGATTCTGGCTTAAATGTATAGAGATGGTGCTATGTACCATGTCAAGGAGGGGACAATCACAGGCCTAGGGGTAAAGCTGAATTCTGTCTGGGGCATAATGACTTTAAGATGACTTTTAGTCAATGGAATATTTGCATTTAAATCTCAAGGCTGAGTGCAGTGGCTCACGCCTGTAATCCCAGCACTTTGGGAGGCCAAGGTGGACGGATCACCTGAGGTCAGAAATTTGAGACCAACCTGACCAACATGGAGAAATCCTGTCTCTACTAAAAAATACAAAATTAGCCGGGTGTGGTGGTGCACACCTGTAATCCCAGCTACTCGGTAGGCTGAGACAGGAGAATTGCTTGAGCCCGAGAGGCGGAGGTTGTGTAAGTTGAGATCGCGCCATTGCACTCCAGACTGGGCAACAAGAGCAAGACTCCATCCCAAAAAAAAAAAAAAAAATCTCAAAACAGAGGTGCAGGCTAATGATTTGGAATGATTAGTCTACTAGTCTACATATGCTGATTGAAACTCTTTAGAGGGAGAAGAAACGAGGTCTTCATTTAGAGCACTGAGAAACCATGGCATATAAAGTAAGCATCCTGGAATAGCATCTTACAGAAAAGACTGAGGAGCCACCAGAGAAATGGTGGAGAAACCAGGAGAATGTAGAAAGTATCTGAAACCAAGGGAAAGATCGAAAGAAGCAGAAGTAGGTATCAAGAAGTCTGGAGGGTGATGATTCCAGAGCTCTTTCAATGGCTCATCGCTGTAGCCAAGAAATTCAGATGTTTTGTACGATTTTCATGCTGAGCAGTTAACATTGTTTTTGTCCTTAAATGTGTCACCTAATGACCACCTTATGGCTACTGCACCTCCAGGCATTACATCCCTGTTCAAGGAGGGGAGAAAGGAGAATAATACCAGCTAACTCTTCTCCATCTTTTATCAGGAAGTAGTAATTCTTTCCCGGGAGTCCCCAAGGACATCCCCTTTCGTCTTACCAGCTAGCACTGGGTCACGTGGTCTCTCTTCCAAAGGAAGCTGAGAGAGTGTTTACTCTTCCAACCTCTATATTAGGAGGCAGAAGGAAAGGGCTGGAAATGGCCTTACAATATTTCAACAATATCATCTGCTGTGGTGTACCTTGGGTTTGGGGAATATGACATAACTGGCGGCTGTGGTGAGCGTCGTTCCAGTGGAATAGTAGAAGTAAGTCAGACCACGGTGGGACAAGGAGTAGCGGGAAGTGGGCAGTGGAGGCATGGAGCTTTGGAGAGTTTGAAAGATGAGTTACTGAGTTGCTAAGAAAGCCACAAAAGGGTTGCCCAGTGTCAGGAAGAGTCCGCCTGAAATTACACGGGATGGATGTGAAAGTGGAGCCACTGGGAGCATTTTCATGACTCTTCTTTCCACCTCCACTAATCTGTATGGAGACTGGAGGATGACAAGGCAGGAGCGGTGGAACGGTGGGAGAAGGGGATGTTCAGAGCGTCTGTGTGATCTGGAGAGTGTAGTGGGTGAAAGGCTGATGGTGGGGCCAAGCTGGGTGAGGAGGCAAGCCACGCCACTTGGGTGATTGTAGGAATGGCCACAAGTTGAACAAGAAACGTTGTATGAAGAAGTTTTGAGGGTAATGATGGTGAAAAGGATAAGAGGTTATGCTCAGAGTCTGAAGTGGTAAAGGTTGAGGTCTTGGACAGTAGAACTCCTCATCACAAGGAGTTTATGAGTGATCGTGGTAGGACAGAGGTGAACATCTCTTAGGAGTGAAGGAATTGTGAAACCAGGCTACTGTCAGATTATCAGTTTAACCTACACTGAGTATTCACTATAGCCGTTATTCCTCATGTCTGAACAAGACAGCTATCTTTATAAGAGTCATACAAGCAGGCTTTGCCGTCTCCTTCAAGGCTAATGGAGAGGGATAAACTTTACATGGAAATTACAAATATCAGAGTCCTCATTCTCCATTCTCATTGTTTTGTTTGTTTGTTACCAAAACCATTCACATCCCATAATATCCAATCAATCTTTTGCTTGGTGATATAAAATTTTAGGCATTTCCAATTTAGGCCATAAATATTCTAGGTGCAACTTGTGAGGTAACACTTGAAGATCCGTTGATACTTTTCCCCTAAAATGAAAAATAAATTCCAGGCTGGGTATGGTGGCTGATGCCTGTAATCCGAGCACTTTGGAAGGCCGGTGCAGGCAGATCACCTGAGGTCAGGAGTTCGAGACCAGCCTGGCCAACATGGCGAAACCCCATCTCTACTAAAAATACAAAAGTTAGCCAGGTGTGGTGGCAGGCGCCTGTAATCCCAGCTATTTGGGAGGCTGAGGCAAGAGAATCGCTTGAACTGGGGAAGCAAAGGTTGCAGAGCTGAGATCATGCCATTGCACTCCAGCCTGGGTGACAGAGCGAGACTCCATCTCAAAAATAAAATAAAATTCTGAAATTATATTTCAAACATCATAGCAGGCTAGGTGTGGTGGCTCATGCCTGTAATCCCAGGATCACCTGAGCCCAAGAGGTCAAGACTACAGTGAGCCATGATCGCACCATTGCACTCCAGTCTGAGTGACAGAATGAGACCATGTCTCAAAAAGAAAAAATCATAGCAGATTATATGTGCAATTTCACATGTATATGATCATTTTATTAATCAACTTTTTTATAGCTATACTTGAATTGACTTCTGTTTTATTTTAAATTCATCATTGTGCTAGATTTACATTTTACATTTTAGCAAGACATTTTATAAATCTATAGCACTGAAAAGTATCTTTTAATAAGCTAGTGATCCCCATTTCATCACACTTCTTCATAAATTTCTAGTACCTGAATAACTGCAAATGAAATTCTGATTCACTAAGGATATTTTGGAAATAATAGCAGTGATGCCCTTTACATTATCTTACAGTCAGTCATAGATATTGGTAAAAATGAAAACATCTGGTAGTTAGTGAGTGCTGAACTCAGCAGTTTGCAAGAAGCTTTTTAATGCGGCAGTTTCTACTGTATGTCTAGCTAACGAATTTGAGGCATAGACAAATCATTAGGTAACTTGTCCAAAGTCATGCTGTGAGTGACGGGCCAAGGATTTGAATCCAGGCAGTGCGGTTCCACAGCCTCTGTTCCTGGCTGTGATGTTGTGCTGCCAATTTTTCCTCGTTGCCTCATTTGCGTATTATACCCCCTGGAGCTTCTGGATCATAAGGCTTATTCTAATTCATAAAGACAACTCTAAGCTTCCCAAGGATCTTCTGGAACATCTCAGTAGGAGATTATAATACTAAATGAAAGCAGTATGGCATATTTGGTGCTTTTTCACAGTCCAGCCTTATAATTTCCATACCTGAAGAAACATTTTTTAGCATGTGAATCCTGCGTTTTATCCTGTTTTGTATGGTGACTAAAAATCTGTTCCTATAAAAACACATGTTCGTATAAAAACACACCAAGTAACTGTGGTGTATATAGTGGAAGTATTTTTTACCCTAAATACACTTTTGGTACATTTACCTCTCATAGAAACCAACACTGGGATAAAAGAGGGGAAGTAAAGAACAAAATTCAAGAAAGCCATTTCTAACGTTTATAGTTACTTCTGATTTTTTGCCGACTTAAATCATTTAAGTAGGGACATCTTTAACTTTATGGGCCTCTCGTCTAAAGCTGATGTCATGATATGCAAGTTATCAGATCAAATTATTTGACTAAATTTGCTCAAAATTTGTGATTTCTTTCCCTAACCCCCTCTGAGGTATAGTGTTTCATGTTTATCTCTTAAGGTCTAAAATGAGAGGAACTTGGAAGGGACCCTTTAAGAAAGGCACAGTTAAACTTATTAGAGAAGTGTTAAGAACTCACCCAGAAAGGAAGATGAATGGTAATTTTGTCATTTTTGTGTTAAAGCTGAATTGTGGATGTGAGGTTGTCCTACTAACTAGCCTTGAGATAAACAGGAGGAAGTGATTTCCTTGTAAGGATGAGGAAAGAGATAGCTCGCCAAAGTGAACCAATACTAGTAAGAAAGCCAACAGTGTAATCTGTATCTTTGAATCCTCAATCCCTGAACACTAAACTTTCCTTTATTTATTTTAGGATGAAGAGAAAGTTCTATTCTTGGGATGAATGTATGAACTTGAGAGAAGTTAAGGTAAAATCCTAAAGATGAAAAGAACCTGAGAAGGGGCTTTAACTCTATCTGAGGCCTGAGGACAGTAGTTAAGATTATTTTTAGTTAAGATTGTTTTATTCTCTGTGGGAAGCATTCTGAAAATAATTGTATTTGTTTTTGCTTTATATTCTAAATTAATTTCTCATTTCTTCTTGTTCTGATGTCAGTGTAGAATAGCGTATGATTATATTCTCACATTTGAAAGTTCACTCTCACTTTTAAAAGAGCATCTTAAATCATATTCTCCAAAGACAACTTGTTTTTTTTTTGAGACAGAGTCTTACTCTGTCACCGAGGATAGAGTGCAGTGGCAGGATCTCAGCTCCCTGCAACCTCTGCCTCCTGGGTTCAAGCGATTCTCCTACCTCAGCCTCCTGAGTAGCTGGGACTATAGGCGTGTGCTGCCATGCCCAGCTAATTTTTGTATTTTTAGTAGAAACAAGGTTTTACCATGTTAGCCAGGCTGGTCTTGAGCTCCTGACCTCAGGTGATCTGCCCACCTCAGCCTCCCGAAGTGCTGGGATAACAGGCATGAGCCACCACGCCCAGCCACCAAAAGACAAGTTTTTAAATTACTACATACCATTTCCTTAGATTTGATGCTTAAAGACTTGGATACCATTTTGGATACCTTTGCATGGTTAAGTCAGACAAAAGTTAGACTTTTCATAAACTATTTCATAAACCAAGGGAAAAATGTAACAGATTGAAATGTTTGATACCTATTGTTAGCTTGGTTTATTGCTTGCACTTAACTTTCATTACTTAAAGCAATTATGTAGATATTAAAATGTTATTAATTAATGAACCCAGGCAAAATGGAAAATTACTTAATTATCAAACTTGGCATTGATGCGATTTTGCCAACTTCTATAAGTTTTTTTTTAAGAAACTTTAATGCGTATTTGTTATTTTTCAGTCTCTGAAGAAACTTAATCATGCTAATGTTATTAAATTGAAAGAAGTTATCAGAGAAAATGACCATCTTTATTTCATATTTGAATATATGAAAGAAAACCTCTATCAATTAATGAAAGACAGGTATGTTTTTATTCACTTTCTTCCCTGTTACTCTCTCCATGAGTTCTTTGGATCCTTTCAGTATGTCAGTACTTTACGATATAAAGATTGATCACTCCGAAAGGTAAATTTAAATTAACTAGTTCTGTTATCTTTATCAAAGGGTAACATTTAACACTGAAGAAGAACCAGCTGTGACATAGCCACCATTTTTCTGTTGCATATCCTTAAAAGTCAAGACCGGTGTCTCATATAAATACACATCCTATCTATTTATGCTTTTTAAAATACAAACTTATATATAGTTTAGTACTCAGTAACAAAGCTGGCCTTGGGCACTATTGAGAAAATTATCTTCATTGCTCTCCCAAGCATCTCGTGGAGGTTAATGAAAGAATGGAGAAAGGAATCTAGTTCCTTTCAAGAAAAGATTTAAGAAACTCATTCACTGGAAGGCACAAGTCAGTGATAATACTTGATGTGTTACCAATTCCAAGGAAATTCACAATTTTTAAATGTGTGGGCAGTATCTGTAAAGGGAGAGCTTTGGTCCTCTGCCCTGGGCTTGGGGAGATAATGTTTTGGTGGTTGTTCTGGTCACATCTGGGGGATAAACGTCCATTTTGCCTGATTTTAAAGTGAGAAATGTTCAATAGTTTTGAACTATTTAAAATAAATAAAATCAGTGGTAAAATAGGTTGGTAATTATAGTATATAATATATATTTAGACTATGCCTCTAAAAAATTTAAAAGGTAAAATTTTTTAAATGAATAATTTTTATAATAAAATTTTTTTAGAGGCATAGTCTTGCTCTGTCACCCACGCTGGAGTGCAGTGGTGCAGTTAGCTAATTTTTATATTGATTACATGTTGGAATAGTATTTGGTATATATTAGGTTAAATTAAATATATTATTAAAAATTAACTTTACCTGTTTGATTTAACATGGCTGCTAGAAAAATGTTAAGTACACAAGTGGCTCTCAGGTATTTCTTTTTATCTTTTTTCTTTTTTTTTTTCTTTTTTTGAGATGGAGTCTCGCTCTTTTGCCCAGGCTGGAATGAAGTGGTGAATCTTGGCTCACTGCAGCCTCCACCTCCCAGGTTCAAGTGATTCTCCTGCCTCAGCCTTCTGAGTAGCACGTGCCATCACACCCGACTCATTTTTATATTTTTAGTAGAGACAGGGTTTCACCATGGTGGCCGGGCTGCTCTTGAACTCCTGACCTCAGATGATCCACCCATCTCGGCCTCCCAAAGTGCTAGGATTACAGGCATGAGTCACTGCACCCAGCTGGCTCTTATATTTCTATTGGACACCACCAATATGTAGAATAGAATTGAAGCATTTATTTATACCTCTAAATTGATTTATTTATTGAGACAGGATCTCACTCCGTCACCAGGCTGGGGTGCAGTGGCACAATCATGGCTCCTTGCAGCCTCGAACTCCCAGGCTCAAGTGATCCTCCCATCTCATCCCCTCCAGCAGCTGGACTACAGGTGCGCGCCACCACACCTGGCTAATTTTTGTATTTTTTTGTAGAGACAAGGTTTCACCATGTTGCCCAGGCTGGTCTCAAACTCTTGGGTTTAAGCGATCCTCCTACCTTGGCCTCCCAAAATGCTGGGATTATAGGCATGAGCCACTGCACCCAGCCACCTCTAAAATTCTTAAAACCTACATAATACAGATTTGCAAGCTTGGCTTATCTGTTAGTAATTCGTTTTTCAACTTGCTTTATTCTTCTTGGGACAGTTTAAAATTTAGCTATTTAATATGTGTGCAATACATTCAGTTTGGGATTTGAGTTTTTACCACATATCAAAACAAAAAAAAATCTGATTTTCATGTATTAAATATATGAGCTTTCACACTGTAAATCCATAAATCATACCTTTAACCAGTATCATGAGGCCAACGGAGGCTCCAAGGCAGGGGGAATATCAACCTTCTTTGGATTGGTTGGCTGGTTGTTTAACAGAATTATGTGACTGTTTGTTCATTTCTTTACAGAAACAAGTTGTTCCCTGAGTCAGTCATCAGAAATATTATGTATCAGATATTGCAAGGGCTGGCTTTTATCCATAAACATGGTAGGTTTCTTTTAAGTTTCATTTCCCTACCTCTTTAGATTACTGTCAAGATTGTGCATAGAAATTATATATTAAACTGTTAAATAACTGTTATATTGGAGGAACACAAATTTGGGGTATGTGCCTATACACACTGACATTTTTATTTAAAAATTTGAGAATTTCTGTGATTCTATATGAAATGGAATTTCTGGCCAAGTGTGATGGCTCATATCTGTAATCCAGCACTTTGGGAAGCCGAGGCAGGTAGTTTACCTAAGATCTGCAGTTAGAGACCAGCCTGGCCAACATGGTGAAACTGGGTCTCTACTAAAAAAGTACAAAAAAATTAGCCAGGCATGGTGGTGGGTACCTGTAATCCCAGCTACTGGGGAGGCTGAGGCAGGAGAATTGCTTGAACCCAGGAGATGGAGGTTGCAGTGAGCCGAGATCGAGCCATTGCACTCCAGCATGGGGAGCACAGTGAGACTCCATCTCAAAAAAAAAAAAAAAAAAAAGAAAGGCCAGGCTTGGTGGCTCACACCTGTAACCCCAGCACTTTGGGAGGCCGAGGCGGATGGATCAACCTGAGGTCAAGAGTTAGAGACCAGCCTGGCTAACATGGTGAAACCCTGTCTCTACTAAAAACATAAAAAATTAGCTAGACATGGTAGCACTCGCCTGAAATCCCAGCTACTTGAGAGGCTGAGGCAGGAGAATAGGTTGTACCCAGGAGGCAGAGGTTGTGGCGAGCTGAGATCACCCCATTGCACTCCAGCTTGGACAAAAAGAGCAAAACTCCTTCTCAAATAAATAAATAAATGGGAATTTCTATAATCTATAGTTATCCTCCAGCACAGCAGAATTTTTTTTACCAGTTCAATCATCATCAGCCTTTAGCTTCAGTCATCAGAACCCATCCTGCAACCTAATTCCCCCTAATTTTATCGTGGAAATGAAAAAAAACAAAGGACCCTCTTTTGGAAAAAGATTAGACTGTTTTGATCTAGCACGACCAATTATTAACATTTAAATAGTTTGTAGCACCCGTGGAATAGTGTTTTATAGTTTTCCTTGGTATTTACATTTAGTTGTTTCTGTTCTCTGAATGAAATTAAAGCAAGTATTAATACTTGTTCAGTTTTCTATGAATTTCTTATTTATGTACTTTGATTAATGTGGCTTTTTCATATCCATCAAACCAAAATAATTATTAGTCCAAAAAGTTAATATGATTGTTTTTTAAAAACATTTGTTTAGAATTGCCGGATGTTTAGATATTAAATTAGAAAAGTTTGTCCCATACCATTGCTGTGTTCTGAACATAGGTACTTAAAAATCACCATCAGGTTCCCTTCATGTCTCATCCTGTATTTAATTTTATTATTATCATTATTTGAGACAGAATCTCACTGTGATGCCCAGGCTGGAGTGCAGTGGTGCCATCCTGGCTCACTGCAGCCTTGGCTTCCTGGGCTCTGGTGATCCTCCCACCTCAGCCTCCCTGGTAGCTGGGACTACGGGCACATGCTTCCACACCCAGTTAATTTTTTATTTTATGTAGAGATGAGGTTTTACCATGTTGCCCAGGCTGGTCTTAAACTCCCGGGCTCAAGTGATCCGCCAGCCTCAGCCTCCCAAAGTGCTGGGATTACAGGCGTGAGCCACCATCCCAGGCCTCATCCTATATTTTATATTTTCTTTTTTTACTTTATCCTCTAACTGACACAGGAATTATTTACCTTCCCAAACTTCTATTCAGGATTCCATATAAATATTTTAAGAACACTTCTTAAACTTATTAAAAGAACATTGAAAAATGTTTTAAGAACATTAAAAAAAAACTTTTTATTTGTGTCATATAAATTTTTGGGGTCTTTTATTTTATTTTTATTTATTTATTTTTTTTTTGAGACGGAGTTTCGCTCTTGTTACCCAGGCTGGAGTGCAATGGCGCGATCTCGGCTCACCGCAACCTCCGCCTCCTGGGTTCAGGCAATTCTCCTGCCTCAGCCTCCTGAGTAGATGGGATTACAGGCACACACCACCATGCCCAGCTGATTTTTTGTATTTTTTAGTAGAGACGGGGTTTCACCATGTTGACCAGGATGGTCTCGATCTCTTGACCTCGTGATCCACCCGCCTCGGCCTCCCAAAGTGCTGGGATTACAGGCTTGAGCCACCGTGCCCGGCCTTTGGGGTCTTTTAAAAGTCTAAATCCTGTAATGATATACTGTATTTTACTGGGAAAGATCAGTAATGTATTAACTATATGGAAATAAGGGATATCTGCTATTTTAATTATTTGTAATGGATTCCTGATTTTTAATTGTTTTAAACTCATCATAAACTTGGTATTTGCCTGAGTTGATTTATGCTGTCAGCGACATCTAAAGCATAAGTGATTGAAGGAGGAAGTTCTATTAGGATTTTTAAATTGTGACTGAAAGTAAGTAACATGTAAGTAGTCAAGAGTTGACTGTATGGTTGACTACAGAGTAATTTGGGAAACGAGTCTGTTAGGATAATTCGACATTTTCACAAACAAATAAGCCAACGTGTAAGGATAATTCAGCATTTTCACAGAAGCCAATAATTCTTGCTGTAGAATTAAGCAACTCAGATGTGATACTTCAAGAAAACAGGTATTTTTAAATCGTGGTTTGGTCTGGTGTGGTGGCTCACACCTGTAATTCCAGCCCTTTGAGAGACCTCACTTGAGATCAAGAGTTAGAGACCAGCCTGGCCAACATGGTCAAAACTTGTCTCTACTAAAAATACAAAAAGTAGCCTGGCATGGTGGCACATGCCTATAATCTCAGCTACTTTGGAGGCTGAGGCAGGAGAATCGCTTAAATCCAGGAGGCAGAGGTTGCAGTGAGCCGAGATTGCACCGCTGCACTCCAGCCTGGGCGACAGAGCAGGACTTTGTCTCAATACATACTGTACATACATACATAAAATTGTTGCTGTCAAAAAATGAAACTAATGTTTACTTCAAATAGGACTGAATTACCAATATATTTATATTAGGGTGGGGAAAACCACAGCTGTACAAATATGTAATTTATTTAGTTCTCTTAGACTTTATGGATTAGTGTCACTACGCTCCGCATCACATGGTTCCATTCCTGTCATTACATTACAAAAGTACAATGAATGTGTCTTGGACGTAGTGAAATGGATGTTACCAGCTATTTAGAGTTAGAAGTACTGTATAAACTCGGATTACAGAACTGTTACAGATGTCACAAACAGAGCCCACTCTTGACTTTGAAGTGACGAAAAACGTTTAGGCTTAGAAAGTCTTCCCAGCCCCAGTTGGGTACAGTGGCTCATGCCTATAATCCCAGCACTTTGGAAGGCTGAGTTGGGTGGATCATGAGGTCAGGAGTTCGAAACCAGCCTGGGCAACATGGCAAAACCCCATCTCTACTAAAAATAAAAAAACTAGCCAAGCATGGTGGTGGACACCTGTAATCCCATTTACTCTGGAGCGTGAGGCAGGAGAATTGCTTGAACCAGGGAGGCAGAGGTTGCAGTGAGCCAAGATCACGCCACTGCAATCTAGTCTGGGCGACAGAGTGAGATTTTGTCTCCAAAAAAAAAGAAGAGAAAAGAAAAAAAAGAAAAGCAGGGCCCCTACATCCCATTACTTCTTAGACAATAAATATGGTTTACTTTTTTCTTTGCGACAGAGTCTCACTCTGTCGCCCAGGCTGGAGTGCAGTGGCATGATCTCGGCTCACTACAACCTCCACCTCCTGGGTTCAAGCAATTCTCTTGCCTCAGCCTCCAGAGTAGCTGGGACTATAGGCGTTCACCACCATGCCCAGCTGATTTTTTGGTATTTTTAGTAGAGACAGAGTTTCACCATGTTGGCCAGGCTGGTCTTGCACTCCTGACCTCAAGTGATCCACCCACCTCGGCCTCCCAAAGTGCCGGGGTTATAGGCATGAGCCACCATGCCTGGGCCAGTTTACTTTTTTTCTAAGATGATGTTTCTAACTGTAAAAGAGGGGTTCATTTATATTTTGTTTATAAATCAAATAAAGCTATGTTTAAGCATAATGATTTATTGTATTTTTTTCTCTATATATCACCAAGGCTTTTTTCATAGGGACATGAAACCAGAAAACTTGCTTTGTATGGGTCCAGAACTTGTGAAAATTGCTGATTTTGGACTTGCAAGAGAATTAAGGTCACAGCCACCGTACACTGATTATGTCTCTACTAGATGGTGAGTAGTAGTATGCGATTCTCCTAAGGCATAAGTCTATGTTGAAGTCTATGTTCCTACAGTGGATTCTTACAAATGTCTGGTGGTTCCATACTGAATATTTAAAACAGAATATAGAACTGAATTTTGTGTTCTTTAAAGAGATTGAAGGATTGGTTTATTGCTATTCTGATTACTGAAAAAACAAGGAAGAAGAATTTCATTTATTCACTCATTCATTCAACAAATATTTGTTGAATACCTATTATGTGCCAAACATCATTTTAGGCACAGAGAACATAGCAGTAAAATAAGAAAATAAAAGAAAAATCTCTGCTTCAGCTGCTTACATGACAGCCAATACACAAATAAACAAGTTCTTATGAGTCACCAACAGAAAGACATACACATGTTCACCAAAAGACATGAATAATCTCAACTGCATACTACCCAAATGTCCATGAACAGTAGCATCGTATACTCACCCAGTGGAATGCTTTGCAACAATGAGAATGAATGGTCTACAACTGCATGCACAATGTGAATGAATCTTAATGTTGAGAGCAAGAGGCCAAACAGAAAAAGTGCACATACCGTCTGATTTCATTTCTGTAAAATACAAAAACAGAGAAAACTAATCTGTGCCATAAAAGGATAGTGGCCAGGTGCGGTGGCTCACACCTGTAATCCCAGCACTTTGGGAGGCCAAGGCAGGTGGATCAGAAGATCAGGAGTTTGAGACCAGCCTGACCAAGATAGTGAAACCCCATCTCTACTAAAAATACAGAAATTAGCTGGGTGTGGTGGCAGGCACCTGTGGTCCTAGCTACTCAGGAGGCTGAGGCGGAGAGTTGCTTTAACCCGGGAGGTGGAGGTTGCAGTGAGCCGAGATCGTGCCATTGCACACCAGTCTGGGCAACAAGAGCAAAACTCCATCTCAAAAAAAAAAAAAGGGAAGGTCAAAGGGGAAATGGGCACGTTCAAGGAAGGAACAAAAAAGAGGAGGAAGCTTGCTGTGGAGCAGCCCCTCTCTCAGGAACTAATCTCATCTTGCCTGAAAAAGAACTTATTCACGACGTAAGAATAGCACCAAGCCTTCCGTGATGGATTTGCCCTGGTTACCTGGGAATGCGAACTTATTTTGAAATGGGGTCTTTGCAGATGTAATCAAGCTAAGATGAGGTCGTATCAGAACATGATTGTTCTTCATCCAGTAAGGCTGATGTCCTTATAAGAAGACAGACACAGGGACAGATGTGGGAAAACACGTGGAGGCCCCCCAGGAGAAGGCAGTGTGATGTACACTTTAAATAGATCAACTGTATATTATGTGACTTATATATCAATAAAGCTTGTAAAAGTATTTGTCAAAGAAATTACAGTAAGTCCTCAACTAACATCAATAGGTTCTTGGAAACTATGACTTTAAGTGAAACAAGGTATAATGAAACCAATTCGACCATGTGCTAATTAAAATAAACAATTTTAGGCATGTTTCTGGTCACAAAAACATCACCAAACTTCTTTTTTTTTTTTTTTGAGACAGAGTCTCACTCTGTCACCCGGGCTAGAGTGCAGTGGTATGATCTCAACTCACTGAACCTCCACCTCCTGGGTTCAGGCAATACTTCTGCCTCAGCCTCCCGAGCAGCTTGGATTACAGGCACCTGCCACTACACCCAGCTAATTTTTTGTATTTTTAGTAGACACAGGGTTTTATCATGTTGGCCAGGCTGGTTTCAAACTCCTGACCTCATGATTTGCCCACCTCGGTCTCCCAAAGAGCTGGGATTACAGGTGTGAGCCACCACGCCCGGGCCAAACTTCTAAATAGTGACCAAGACACTAATATTGAACATTGAATACATGTGAGCTATACATACATTTAAGAAAGATTAAGGCTGGGCATTGTGGCTCACGCCTGTAATCCCAGAACTTTGGGAGGCTGAGGCAGGAGGATCATGAGGTCAAGAGATCGAGACCATGACGACCAACATGGTGAAACCCTATCTCTACTAAAAATACAAATATTAGCCAGGCATGGTGCACCTGTAGTCCCAGCTACTCAGGAGGCTGAGGCAGGAGAATCGCTTGAACCCGGAAGGCGGAGGTTGCAGTGAGCCGAGATTGCACCCTGCATTCCAGCCTGGCAACAGAGTGAGACTCCGTCTCAAAAAAAAAAAAGAAAAGAAAAAGAAAGATTAATAAAAACAAGGAAGATAATTATTTGCCCAGTTATTCCATTTCAGGGTCACAGGTGGCTACAGCGTGTCCTGGCAGCTGGGGGTGCAAGGTGAGCACCAACTGTGGATGGGACAGCCACCCATGGCAGCACCCCCCTACACACACACACATGTACACTTACTTATCCTGGGACCACACAGACACCCCAGTTCAGTTCACCTGACATGTACATCTTTGGGTTATGGGAAGAAGCTGGAGCCCTGGAGAAAACCCATGTAGACTTGGAGAGAACATGCAGCCCCCACACAGTGGCCCAGTCAGGAATCCGTTTTCTTTCCTTTCCTTTCCTTTCCTTTTTTCTTTCCTTTCACCTTTCCTTTCCTTCCTTCCTTCTTTCCCTTCCCTACCTTCTTCCCTTCCGCCTTCCCTTCCCTTACTTTCTCTCTCTCTCCTTCTCTCATTAATGTTACAATGAAATGGCATTGAACAAAACTAGTCAGTACTGCCAAACATTTGGACTGAAATATCTATACATTTTGGTTAGAAAAAAGGAGTTAGAATTGAGAAATTGAGAGTATCTTCCATTTAGCAGACTCTGTTGGACTCCCCAGCTCACTTTGCTCTTGTAAATTGAGTATTTTTCTCAATGAAAAGTATTGTTGACCACAGAAGAGGAGTCCATTGAGGATATCAGCACTTTCAAACTGGTAAAAAGAAGAGAAAACTCCACTACTCAGGGCTAATCCTTGTTCATCTTTTGTTTTCTGTGCTTCATGGTGAATAGATGCTGAATATAATGTTTTATAACATGGTTTTTCTACTTCTTTTCTTTCTCTCTTTCTTTTTTTTTTTTTGAAACAAAGTCTCACTCTGTCACCAGGCTGCAGTGCAGTGGCCAGATCTTGGCTCACTGCAACCTCTGCCTCCCGGGTTCAAGCAATTCTCCTGCCTCAGCCTCCCAAGTAGCCAGGACTATAGGTGCATGCCACCACGCCTGGCTAATTTTTGTATTTTTAGTAGAGATGGGGTTTTACTGTGTTGGCCAGGATGGTCTTGATCTTTTGACCTCATGATCCACCCACCTCAGCCTCACAAAGTGCTGGGATTACAGGCTCGAGCCACCAGGTCTGGCCTATTTTTTTTTCTTAATATATCAGATAGCACTTATTTCCACTATTTCCATATCTATTCATTTGAGTTCCTGTCTTGGGCTTCATGGACATTTCATTCACATTTGTCGCCAGCCCCATTCATTGTCTGTGGTCAGGGAACATGTGTTATGTCCTATTGCCCCTAGAACATTGTACAAATGACTGACACACAGAAGGAACAGGATCTGAATATCTACTCTTTGATGGAAATGCATCACCAAACAGAGGAGACTGCTACTGCCCATCCACCTTTGAAATTGCAATCAAAATAACTTCTTTTGTTTTGTTTTGTTTTCTTAGGTATCGCGCCCCTGAAGTTTTGCTGAGATCTTCCGTGTATAGCTCTCCCATTGATGTGTGGGCTGTTGGAAGTATCATGGCTGAACTCTATATGTTAAGGCCACTTTTCCCAGGGACAAGTGAGGTTGATGAAATCTTTAAAATTTGCCAAGTTTTAGGGACTCCCAAAAAGGTAAGTACTCTTGTCCCAAAGTTGCTATAACTTTTGATTATTTCTAACTTGCTACTTTGCTTTTAATTTTGTAATTTTTCATTATTTATAACTTTTGCCTAGATATCTGGTATTTTCATTTTGAAATAGGCTCATACTTTAATGATTAATTTTCTTATAATCCTTTTTTTTTTTTTTTTAAAGATGGAGTCTCACTCAGTCTCCCGGGCTAGAGTGCAGTGGCACAATTTCAGCTTACTGCAACCTCCACCTCCCAGGTTCAAGCAATTCTCCTGCCTTAGCCTCCTGAGTAGCTGGGATTACAGGCGTGTGACCACCACACCTGGTCAATTTTTCTATTTTCAGTAGAGATGGTTTCACCATGTTGGTCAGGCTGGTCTCGAACTCCCGAGCTCAAGTAATATATGATCTGCACACCCCAGCCTCCCAAAGTGCTGGGATTACTTGGTGTGAGTTACTGCACCTGGCCATAATCCTTAAATCAGAGTGTGTTAAGGACTGCAAGGAGCTGGGATCCCACCAGCTGAAGAAAAACAGGTGCTTAGGCCAGGCACGGTGGCTCACACCTGTTATCCCAGCACTGTGGGTGGCCAAGGTGGGCGGATCACCTGAGGTCAGGAGTTCGAGACCAGCCTGACCAATATGATGAAACCCCGTCTCTGCTGAAAATACAAAAATTAGCTGGGCATGGTGGTGGGTGCCAGTAATCCCAGCTACTTGGGAGGCCGAGGAAGGAGAATCCCTTGAACCCCAGAGGCAGAGGTTGCAGTGAGCCAAGATCGCACCATTGCACTCCAGCCTGGGCAACAAGAGTGAAACTCTGTCTCAAGAAAAAAAAAGAAAAACAGGTGCTTGCCTTTTCTTAAGAACTTAAGGAAAAATTCTGTGTGGTTAGAGTGTTACTTGGGGGTGATGTCCAGCTGACACTGTACAGACAGCCTTACTTGGGCTCTTTCCTACTCACTCTGTGGCTGGCCATTGACATCAACTGTTAACCCCTGGTGTAGTGAACCTTATTTTTTCTTAACCCTTTCTTGTTTCCTTTTATATATGGACATTTGACTTATTGAACTGAATACTTTTCAATTAACTATAACTAATTATATTTTATCTACACCTTACTTTCTGAGATGTGCTTTATAAGTGTGTATATAATGACATCCTAATTAAATTAGTATGTGCCTTGCAGTTAACATTACACAAGTAATGTAAGATATTAAAGCTTTAATGTAATTGTCATTTCCCAGATGTGTACATTTTTAACACTGGCTGTGATACATAGTACATACAGAGATCTTTGTTAGCAATCAGCCTCTTTGTAAAGCACTTTTCCTTATTTGTTCAGAGTTAGCCCAGGTAACATCACAGCAGCATCACCATCAGGATCAAAAACCAGACAAGAGTTTAATATTGTAAAATTTATAAAGGGCAGGCATGGTGGCTCATGCCTGTAATCCCAGCACTTTGGGAAGCCCAGGCGGAAGGATCACTTGAACCCCAGAGTTCAAGACCAGCCTGGGCAACATAGTGAAACCCTGTCTCCACAAAAAATACAAAAAAAAAAAAAAATTAGCTAGTATGATGGTGCGCACCTATAGTCCCGGATATTCAGGAGGCTGAGGTGGAAGGATCTCTTGAGCCCTGGAGGGTGAGGCTATAGTGAGCCATGATTGCACCACTGCACTCCAGCCTGGACAACAGAGCCAGCTCCTGTCTCAAAAACAAAAAAAGGTTATAAAAGTGCTTCTCACATTGTTTCCTAACTCTCAGCTTCATGTTTTTTCTATACTGCTATAACACTGAATTCTAGACCTGGACTGGTATTTTATTCTCATGTTTATTTATATGGATCAACATGAAAATGTTCAAGCATAAATGATGTTTATATTACTGCTATGTTTTTTAAATAGATTACTAAAAACAATTTGTTTTGCTCTCCCCACCCACACTTACATACTCCTGAAACAGAGCGACTGGCCAGAAGGATACCAGCTGGCATCTTCTATGAACTTCCGTTTTCCCCAGTGTGTTCCTATAAACTTGAAAACTCTGATTCCCAATGCCAGTAATGAAGCTATTCAGCTCATGACTGAAATGTTGAATTGGGATCCAAAGAAACGACCAACAGCAAGCCAGGTGAGATGAGTCTTCCTGTTAGACCTTTTAAATCTTTCAGGTTTTTTAATATCAGGGATGTTTTCATTTACGAAGGCAGGTCTATTCTCAACAGGATTTTACTAAGAGAATTAATCACAAAGCCCTTGGCATACAGTGTATGTCATAAATTAATTTATAGGCATAGAAGATCCTTGGGAGAAATGAAAAATAGCTACACCAATGATTTTCTGTGTTTTGTGGTTCAAATGAGGAACCCTGAGGTTGCAACAAGGAATCAGTTTGCAATGATAAACATTCAGACACGTGACAGACTAGTTATGAAGGAATCTGTCATGGGTAGCAAAAAGGCATCTCATAGTAGACTCTCTCTTTTTTTTTTTTTTTGAGATTGAGTCTTGCTCTGTCACCAGGCTGGAGTACAGTAGTGCTCGATCTCAGCTCACTGCAACCTCTGCCTCCCGGGTTCAAGTGATTCTCCTGCCTCAGCCTCCCGAGTAACTGGGACAATAGTCACATGCCACCGTGCCCAGCTAATTTTTGTATTTTTAGTAGGGACGGTGTTTCACAATGTTGGCCAGGATGGTCTTGAACTCCTGACTGCAAGTGTTCCACCTGCTTCGTCCTCCCAAAGTACTAGGATTACAGGTGTGAGCCACTTTTTATTTTTTAGTACAATTTATTTCTCAAATCATTTTTTCTGGTTACCTTTTAAAAGGGGTACTGTATAGGGAATGATGGCTGCTTTCTAAATCTTGGAAGCGCCTGTGGGCTAATGGTAGCTCCTGTGGCCCTCACAAAGGGCCAATCATAGTTTATGTGCAATACATTTAGGTGAAACCATTTTCCATTTGTTGTTGTTCTGTGTTTTTACAGGCATTGAAACACCCATATTTTCAAGTTGGTCAGGTATTAGGCCCTTCCTCAAATCATCTGGAATCAAAACAGTCTTTAAATAAGCAGCTGCAACCATTAGAATCAAAGCCATCTTTAGCTGAAGTAGAGCCCAAGCCTCTACCAGATGTAATTGATCAGACTGTTGGACAATCCCAGCCAAAAACTAGCCAGCAGCCACTGCAGCCCATTCAGCCGCCACAGAACCTGAGCGTCCAGCAACCTCCAAAGCAACAGCATCAGCAGAAACCGCCGCAAACGCTATTCCCAAGCATCATCAAAAACATGCCAACTGTGAGTAGCCAGTCATGACACTTGAAATGGAATTGTTTGACTACTGCAATTAAGATTTTGTTTCAAGGCATTTCTAATTATGTTGGAGAAGATAAAAACAATTATTCTTTGTTAAAGACCCTGAGTCCTCTGGTTGGAGCTTGACATGAGATCACTTAAAATTCTAATATGGTCTATAAAAAGAAAAACTTTCAGAATGAAAGTAACCAAGTTTACATGCTACAGTGTTCAGTCTTTTTTATTTTTTTTTGAGATGGAGTTTACTCTTGTTGCCTAGGCTGGAGTGCAATGGCAGGACCTCAGCTCACTGCAACCTCCTATGTTCAAGCGATTCTCCTACGTCAGCCTCCCAAGTAGCTGGGATTACAGATAGGAATCTGCCTACCATGCCTGGCTAATTTTTGTATTTTTAATAGAGATGGGGATTCACCATGTTGCCCAGGCTGGTCTTGAACTTTTGACGGCAAGTGTTCCACCTGCATCAGCCTTCCAAAGTGCTGGGATTATAGGTGTGAGCCACCATGCCTGGCCTTTTTATTTTTTTTTGAGATGGAGTTTCATTCTATTTGCCCAGGCTGGAGTGCAATGGTGCAATCTCGGCTCACTGCAACCTCCACCTCCTGGGTGCAAGCGATTCTCTTGCCTCAGTCTCCTGAGTAGCTGGAATTACAGGTGCCCACCACCACACCCAGCTAATTTTGTATTTTTAGTTGAGACCGTGTTGGCCAGGCTGGTCTTGAACTCCTGACCTCAGATGATTCACCCATCTTGGCCTCCCAAAGTGCTGGGATTACAGGCGTGAGCCACCAAGCCCAGTCTAAAGTTCTTTCAATGCCGAAAAATTCAAAGAATTTAAAAGAATCAGGTACTCCAAAGTACTGATCCTAAATCTTAAGAATTTTTAACAGTACTGTCATTTCATGGTGTTCTTAAATGCTAAAGAACATGGAGAGAATGGGTTTTAGTTTTTTATTTTTATTATTATTTTTTGAGATGGAGTTTCACTCTTGTTGCCCAGGCTGGAGTACAATGGTGTGATCTCAGCTCGTAACCTCCGCCTCCTGGGTTCAAGCAATTCTCCTGCCTCAGCCTCCCAAGTAGCTGGGATTACAGGCATGCGCCACCATGCCTGGCTAATTTTATATTTTTAGTAGAGACAGTGTTTCACCATGTTGGTCAGGCTGGTCTTGAACTCCTGACTCCAGGTGATCCGCCCACCTCAGCCTCCCAGTGTGCTGGGATTACAGGCATGAGCCACCATGCCTGGCTAATTTTGTATTTTTAGTAGAGACAGTGTTTCACCATGTTGGTCAGGCTGGTCTTGAACTCCTGACTCCAGGTGATCTGCCTACCTCAGCATCCCAGTGTGCTGGGATTACAGACATGAGCCACGGTGCCCAGTGAGAATGGGTTTTTAAAGTGTCAGGTATAGTATAAAACAACTTCTTCTGTCTTTTGTTCAGCTCTGGGAGCTCATTAGTTGCTGTAGTATTCTAGCTGTCCCCTTGGGGTATACACTCCCAACTGTGTTCGAATTATGGCATTTTAGGATGGAAATCTGTCTTACACAGCACCATATCTATTTCCTTATCCAGTCCTCACCTGCCCCACCAACCTAGTATAAGCAAGGTCTCCTCCTCCCCCAATAGCACTAATCACATTCTCAGGTAGTGTTAATTACTTATTTTTTATGTTTATTGTTTGTCTCTTCCTCTGGAATGAAAGCTCAATGAAGTCAGGAATGTTTGTCTGTTTTGTTCATCAGTACAGCCTCAGAACCCCGACTAGGGCCTGCTACATGGGAGATTCTCAGTAAATGTTTGTTCAGTGAATGAAGGAATGAGTAATTGCCCACAAGACTTGTAAACCACCTCTGGGGCGCTGAGGAGTCCACTTTATCTTTGGAACAGTTCTGAATATTAGAAAGTTCTTCCTTACACTGGGCAAAATCTGGTTTTCTTGCTTTTAGTGAAAGCTAATCACTTTTCTAGAAAGGTCGCCTTTTACATATTTGAAAATAGCTGTTACATTATCTGCCCTTTTCTCTAGAGAAACATCTCCAATTCCCTCAAGGGCTCTGCATATAACACCTTTAATCAATGACTGATAACTCTCAATTCCTATTACAAATGTGCCTTTAAGTCCCCTTTCATCCCCACTCCTACTTAGAATGAGGCTGCCGCAGCTGGAGGCAAACAGCAAGCAGAGAGTATAGAGCAGGACTAATCAGTCACCTCCAACATTCCAAACAATATGCGCAGTCGTGCCACCAACGATTACAGTCCTCCCCCCAGCCCCTTGGAAGGTACTTCAAATGCTAACTCATACTGTGAGGGAAGGAAAGGAAGTTAATATTGATTGAGTAGCTACTAAGTGCCATGCATATGCTAGGCACCCTTTGCGCATTCTCTTAAGTTAAAGAGAATAACCTAGCCGCCCTCCCCCGTCCCCCCACACACATATTTTTATATAGGTAAGTTTCAGAGCTGGGATTAACTAAAATTTCTAAGTATACCCATTTTTTCATAAATGCTTCTAAATCGCATATTCTGTACCTCTGACTTGTGTATTTCATCTCTAGGATTCAAAAAGTTGCAAGATCTTTTACATCTCCAATTTCTAATTATTTTTGAATCTTTATTTTTTCTTCTCAGTTTACCCACTCTGCCCAGCTTGTTGCCAGCTATGGATTTATTTAGTTGTCTGTTTTGCTCCTGAATCTTCATGATATATACATAGAATGACCGTGAGATCTTGGGCAGGGCATAGAACCTTCCTCTAGATTGACATTGATCCATTCGTCAGTACTCTTGGTCAAGTTCTTCAGCTATGTGCTGATTCCCCTTTGCTGCTTTCACCCACTGGGCTGAAGTCCACTTACACTACATCAAATGAACTCACTGTGTGCCTTTTATGAAAAGGGTAATCTATCTGACCTATCACTGTTTTCCCTTCGTGCCCACAAGCATCCCCTTTAATAACTGATTTTAGAATCTTTGCTCTTATCCTCTACCAAACTTACTGATGTGGAATTTGCCAAAATCAATCTCCTACTTTATTAAAATTATTATTTTTGCCCCTTGCCACTCTTCTCAGACACACAAGGTTCTTGGATATCACTGACATTGCTGAGCAGTGTTCAGCATCAGTACCCTAAAATGGAATTCAACAGAAGGCAGACTCAAACTCAGCTAAGGGTAACCTTTTATTAATCCTACTTATCTGGAGCTTAACGTTTTTTTATTCTCTTGATTCTGGAGATTGTTCTGCCTGGCAGAGAAAATGGTGTAGAAGCTGACAAATACTTCTTTTTATTATCATCCATCACTCACTGTGACACCATCAGCTTCAAGCAATAGCATGGCCATTCAGCATCTCCCTGCACCCAATGTAGCTGTGTTTTCTGAAATTTTTCCATGCTCTACTCCCTAGTTTTGAGTTGCCTTTTGGATTTTTCTGTTTATGTGCCCCTAAGCCACTCTCTGTAAATTTGTATAAAACCAATTCAGGCCAGGCACGGTGGCTCACGCCCGTAATCCCAGCACTTTGGGAGGCAAAGACAGGCGGATCACCTGAGGTTGCAAGTTCGAGACCAGCCTGACTAACATGGAGAAACCCCATCTCTACAAAAAATACAAAATTAGCTGGGCACGGTGGTGCATGCCTGTAATCCCAGCTACTGGAGAGGCTGAGGCAGGAGAATCACTTGAACCTAGGAGGCAGACGTTGCGATGAGCTAAGATCACACCATTGCCCTCCAGCCTGGGCAACAAGAGCAAAACTCTGCCAAAAAAAAAAAAAAAAAAAAAAAAAATCATCGTGTTCCCCAAGCCAAGACCTCTTTCCTGTTCCTTATTTCTGTTAATGATGCCTCCATTCTGTAACAGACTCATACGTCCCTCTGTGTTCATTAAGATTACATTTAGGGACTTACAACAAAAACTCGACCACTGTGGCTTAAACAGTAGGGGTTGCTTTTCTCACATAACAAGAAATCGGGTGGTGGGCAGCTGGAGCTCATGCAGCTTGCAGAGGAGGCAGGCTGCTGCTGGCTTCCTGATCTGCCACCCTGAGCAGGTAGTTTTCATGCCTGTGTCCACAGGATGACTGGTGTTCCTTTGAGTGTTGTACCTGCATTCTAGCAGAGAGAAGAGTAAAAGATGCTGGCACATGCCACCTTTAGTGTCCTTCTCATTGAGGCTGTCCCCACTTAAAAAGGACACTAAGGCTCTGAGAAGTCACTTGTCCAAAGAGACATAGCCAAGTCTCAGGTTTCCAGATCCTTTGTGTCATTAAAGAGTTAACTCAGATCCTAAATATTCAAGTCTCCCACCAACCCAGTTCACAGAGATCTCTCCTCTGAGCACCTATCATATTTTTGGCATATACCACCCAATTTTTTTCATGCTTGTAAATGTGTATATGCATTATGCCCTAAAGTGTATGGAACGCTCCTTGAGAATGGGAACTCTTAAGTGTCTTATAGAGCAGATTGTGCGTGAAAGGCATTCAGTACATGATTAAAGATTATGACAACTGATTTTCCACCACAGAAGCCAAATGGCACACTGAATCATAAAAGTGGTAGGAGGCGTTGGGGCCAGACTATCTTCAAATCTGGAGAAAGCTGGGAAGAGTTGGAGGACTATGATTTCGGAGCCTCCCATTCCAAGAAGCCAAGCATGGGTGTTTTTAAAGAAAAAAGGAAGAAAGATTCTCCATTTCGGTAAGATTTCAGATTCCTCAGAAAAATGTTTTTGCCATGCATCAACTTTATTTTACTCATTAAATATAAATGCACGTGGGCCTTAAATGAAAAAAAGTTTTGCTTGATAGGCCAGGTGCAGTGGCTCAGGCCTGTATTCCCAGCACCTTGGGAGGTTGAGGCAAGTGGATCACTGGAAGCCAGGAGTTCGAAACCAGACTGGCCAACATGGCAAAACCCTGTCTCTACTAAAAATTCAAAAATTAGATGGGCGTGGTGGTGCACGCCTGTAATCCCAGCTACTCGGGAAGCTGAGCCATGAGAATTGCTTGAACCTTGGCGGTGGTTGTTGCAGTGAGCCGAGATTGCACCACTGCACTCCTGCCTGGGCAACAAAGTGAGACTCCATCTTAAAAAAAAAAAGAAAAAAGTTTGCTTAATATTGGTTTCTTCCACAAAATACTAATCTTTCCACATACCTCTGAAAAGGTAAGAATCTTCTCACGGTAACAATTCTCAGTATTAACAGATGAGTGGGCCATGTATGTGTGTAGAGAGAGTATGTCAGTTCGTTTTTGCATTGCTGTAAAGAATGTGTT